TCTTTTTGCCTCACTCTTCCATGTGAGAGGGAAAGGGAAAGAGATGATGAAGGACAGGCAGGAAGAAAGAGAAGGCAGCCATGAGCCTCCATACTTCGCTATGAACTTTTTTTTGTAAGTGTATGGTTTAAGTTACCCATATCTTCAAGAACAGAATTCATACAAGTGTGAAGATAAAAGGGTAGATTCTTGTCCAGGTAGCTATATGGTGAATTATCTATCCTATGTAGATGTTGTTTTCTTGTAAACTGGTTTTTTTCTTTCTACCCTTGTTCATCTTATGCTTATGTTCATTTGATGTTAGTATTTTGTAAGCAACTGTCAACTACATGAAATTGTCCAGAAATGATAAATTTTAGTATTTTGAGAGTGGACACCAGGATCAGGCATGGTCAGGCACACTGTCAAAAGCATATGGTTTCTCTTTACCAGTTCTGAAACAAAGATACAAAAGAATAGCTAACATATATGTGCCAACATTTCCTATGGATTTCTATAAGTGCTGAAAATTATCCCTCTCCTTTTGCTCCTTGAGAGCCTACTTTATGTGTTGTCTAAATTAGGGGGAGAAATTAGTGCATAGTACATTTCCTTAAAAACTGGAGTCCACTTCATTCAAATGCAGTTTTCTTTTAGCAGAAGTTATTTTGCATATATTTCTCATTTTTACTACCCACACCCGACACTACTCTCAGAGGAATTCATGGCATTTTGGTACCCTGCCTCTGATCAGCAGAGGAACAGCAATAAGGGATGCTGGAAGTACCTTAGCTCATTGGCCCTTCACTGAAGTTCTACAGGCCATGGCACCCACGAGTAAGTCCCAAGGAAACACATGACCCTGACTACTTGTAATTTTGTTTTGTTAATAGCTATGCCCCACGACTGCCTTTGAATCAAGCAGGTTCTGATCTGTTCCTTTATTTTAGGTAAATGGTTTGAAGATGGATTCATCTCTCAAGTATGGGAAAATATGGACTCTGTAATATCTGCTTCTCAACAATAATTCCTTTTGATTTATCTCTTGTGCACGGCTACACTCTGTATGGCTATGCTACGATTGGCTATGCTCTGTATGGCAGCCTTGAAGCATCTGATTTGCACGGACGTGGAAATTATCTCTATTATCCTATCAAGCTTTCAAACTAGATATATAAAACTGAATGCCCAAACTTAAACTATCAAAATAATAAACACATATACTTGACTTTTAATTATAAATGGAAATATAAGTGCAGTCAATAAATCATGGGATATTTAATCCAAATATACTGAATTGTTAAATACCACTACTTGTTATTAAATATTTTAAACCTTCCACACACTATTTGTAGTTTGACAAGAGAGTACATTTTCTTTATGAATTTTAACTTCATTAGAATAATTTGAACCTTGAAATTATCCAGATATTAAAAAAATATCAGACACTCAGGAAGCAGAGACAAGAAGATTCCTCAGAGTTTGAGGCCACCGTGGTCTACAGAGAGTGTTCCAGGACAGCCAGGACTACAGAGACACACCCTGACTCGTATAACCAAATAAAACACTTCAGATAAATGACAAAAATAATTATTTTTCATTATTTCAACAAATTCTCTTAATTTCACCCTTACATCTAAACTCAAGGAAAGTGATAGTGTGCAGTGGATATGTCCAGTCAGGATGGTGTGCAGTGGATATGCTCTGTCAGGACGGTGTGCGGTGGATATGCCCCGTCACGACAGTATGCAGTAGATATGCTCTGTCAGGACGGTGTGCAGTGGATATGCTCTGTCAGGATGGTGTGCAGTGGATATACTCTGTCAGGATGGTGTGGAGTGGATATACTCTGTCAGGATGGTGTGCAGTGGATATACTCTGTCAGGATGGTGTGCAGTGGATATACTCTGTCAGGACAGTGTGCATATGCCCGTGAGGACAATGTGTAGTAGATATGCTCTGTCAGCAAGTTGAAGCCTCTTGGGTACAGCAGTGCAAAGGCCGAGTACTCAGCTAGAACTCTGCTGTCATTCACTGGGGGCCATTGCAAGAGCAAGCCCCTAGCCAGGCATGGTGGTACACACCTTTAAGCCCAGCTCTTAGGAGTCAGAGGCAGGTGGATCTCTGAGAGTTTGAGGCCACCCTGGTCTGCATAAAAGTTACAGGTCAGCTGGAACTATATAGTGAGACCCAAATCTAAAAAAAAAAAAAAACCAAAAAACAAAAAACAAACAACAACAAAAACAAAAAAAACAAAAAAAACAACCCACTACCAGGAGAGAAAACAAAATCTATTACATCCAGTACATCTTCAGTATGCGGAAGCTCTTTGTTGATAAGAAGGTAGAATACTCAAGACACTGATACACTGACACTGATAGACTTTACTAATATAATAATAAGAATTTTATATCTCCATAAATATGTTCACATTGTGCCTTTTTCTTATAGCAATTATCACCACCTGCAGATGTGTGTTTGTGTACACACAACACACACACACACACACACACACACAAAAGATTTTCATGACTCCTTAACCTTTACAACTCTGGAGTCTTGTTTATAGGAGATAATTCAGAAAAAAAAAAGGAAAGAAAAGAAAAATTAAACAAACAACCTTTACTTACCTAATTCAGGCTTTTTATAAAAACTGTCTTTTGGAGATTTACATTCACACAAGCTTACTAGATTTCCTCCCAGATAAATCACAGGAAGAAACTGGATTTATTTGTCTAAGGCATAAGTTATCAAGCTTCTGTTAGTAATTACATTTGAATATGTTATTTCTAAATCAAGCTTTCTTGATTTCACCATCACCTACTGTGTTTTGCTGCTAACTTTGAGGCAGAGGGGACAGAAGAAAGTAAGTGCTATAAATTCTGTTCTTAATAAATGGAAAAATAATCAAAAACTTAAGATCAGAATAGTTTATTATAACATATAAACTATTGCTACCATATAAGGTACTAATACGTATTTGATTGTGTTTTCTTCAGTCCTTTTAAATTCATCTGCTACCTACAGATTAAAAAAATAGCTAGATATTAAAAACAAAGTTGAGAATCTGTGTGTTTGTTTTTGCCTTGACCTATATCGCTGGGCCAGGACACACTGGAGATCATGACAGCACTGAAACTACCTGACAAGAGTTCTTACCTCCTGGGTTTTCCCATTAGATATGTCTTGCCCCAAATCAAAAAGTCATCTCTCTAAAACAAAATCAAAATTTCATTCTTTTGCTTAGAAGCTTTAAATAGCTTTAAAGCTATTTCTACACACAAAACCCTCAAACTTAATTGCCTGCAAGTAAAACTAACTCCCTTAATGTGTGCCTCAAACTGCTGTCTGTAGACATCGCCTCTTTCACTCTCTGCTCAAGCATCTGCAACTCTACTTGTGCTGTAACAACTTATCCAAACCACAGGCCACTGCCAACCTCACCCTTATTTCCATGTGCTTATGAGAACACTTCCCTCCTACCTACGGGCTCCTTTCTTTTTCTCACTCAAATAGCACTTTCTTTATGACATTTCCTAATCCTCCATCTCCAGGGGTTTGTTCAATACTCTGTATTCTACAGTTCTTTGATATACATTGGATTTGGGCACAAGACATTGCATTACTTTATTCCCCTCATACCTCACACATCTTGCATTTTGAAAGGTAGAGACTATGTCTTACCCTTGAATTTAGGACCCAGCACATAGTAGGCCTTTAATCAATGTCTCTTGACCAGAGGAAACGCTATTATGTGTGATGTTGTCTTTCTATGACTTAAAACTCATGCTGCTTACTACACTAGTGTGGAGGAGGAGATCTTGCCTATGAACATAACCACCTTAGAATAACAAAGAGCCCAAGAAACGATTCCTTTTTCCTAGTACATCTACTACTTCATTAGGAAAAGACAGTTATACCTACAGAGCGTAAGTACGCTATACTGGTAAAGACAGTGAGTTCACAAACTTTTAATTTACTGTAAATTGTGACATAGTTGTAAGTGACTGGAGGGCTCTTAACAACAGTGGAATGGGCTGTATATTCCACTTGAGCTTTGTGAAAAACATGTCTGCTAATGCTTTGATTGTCAAGGATTATGAGTACAGATCAGACAGAGTTGGTTCTTTTCAATTCCAAGACTTATAATTCTGGCATCTATCCATCAATTTCCCATCCATCTTCTGATTCATCCACCTATGCATCCATCCATTCATGAATGTAAGCTCTCTTAAAGCTCTAAGGTCTACGTTGGTAAAGATTAGATTCCAAAGAAATGTAAGAAGTCCCAAAGATCCTACAAGAACTCAGACTTTGTCAGAAATAATTAGCTGGCATGGGCAAGATGCTCATAAGGCAAAGCTGCTTGCTGTGCATATCTGATGACCTGCACTGGATGAAACCCATGGTGTAGGGCGAGAACCAAATCCTGAGACTATTCTTTGACCTCCACACATCTACCTTCACTAACATATCTCACACATGTGCACCTCTCTATCTCCTCTCTCCCTTTCTCTTTCCTTCTCTCTCTCTGTCTCTTAGATATTCTCTCTCTCTCTCTCTCTCTCTCTCTCTCTCTCTCTCTCTCTCTCACACACACACACACACACACACACACATACACACACATTTGCATGTGCAATAAATAAAACTTAACAAAATTATTTGAAGGATGTAAGAATAGCACGTCTCATGGACACTAAAATCAAATTTCTCCAAAGGTGCTATCTGCCTAGATGTACTACTTGATCTTTGTGTGCCATTTCCCTGTACGAACAGCAGTTTTGGGTATCACATTTAATTTTAAGAGGGTCCGACACATTGAAGACCAAAATATTTTTTAAAAAACTGAGAAAGGGATTACTGAAATTCTAAATGGTATTTTAACATGATTCACAGCAAAAGCATGCCAATGGTAGCATCCCTTCCTGTGCGTTTGTTTGTTCCATTTGCTCAGAGATAAGAACACCTCTGGAGTTAATACATATGTAGCTCTGACACAACAACAACTTCGATTATACCTTTGCTTCTGTTGCATGGGTTGCTGCCTCATAGCCATGTACTGCATATCTTCTTGTAGCCGGTTAAGAGGAGAGTCTGGCTTCACACGAATCCCATAGTAATGGTACTTGGAGTTTCCTCTTCACAAAGGAACAATAAATATGGAAAAACGAAAAGTCAGCAAAACTAACATTAGCCATAAACTTCTCACAGAAAAATTGGGTTAAAATATTATACCAACATTTCACATTTATAATTTGTCTTTTCTGGATGCCTGCTATATTTCTATAGTGACATTCCAGATCAAAATAAGATTCCAAAATAATCACCTGAAGACCTCAAGGGTAAATAATTCCTTTCACTTAAATATTCACCAGAGAGCCCATTTGTCCCACTCACATTAATTTATTAATTTAGAAGGTAATTTAGAAGGCTGAGCCAATCACAGTTCATCCACAGCACAAATCACTGTACACTGGACAGCAATTTTCCATAAACACAGAGGAGGGGGGGAACCCAACTTCATTCTGTAGTCTTGAGCTAATTTTAGAAACAATGATATAATATTATTGTGTTATATAATGGTTTATTTTTAATATTTTGAATTATACAAAGGAAAAAACTACTTAATATATTTCTTTGAAAAACATTTTATTAGTCTCTGTTTTTATTGATTCATATTTATTGATTACTAATTAGATATAGCATAAAAGACTGGGATATGTTCCTGTAAAAATGGTGAGGTCATATTGGAATAAAAATTTTTCAACTTCTTCAGAAATAAAAAATTCCATGCTTGATATTAGAAATGATAATTTTTATTCTGAATGAAACTTGCAAATTCTTGCAAAAATAACATTTTAAATATGTAAGTTCTTGCAGAGAAATCAGTTTTTAACAAGTCTATATATAGCAGTACGTCTGTGAGCATTCTTCCAATTTTTATTTCATTTACAAAGAGAAATGCAAGTGGTGTATGGATTAAATATTTTTAATGAAAATAGATAATTTTAATTCCAAAACTAACAAACGTACATTAGATGAGCCATATATTTGAAGAGATACTAAGGTAATCAAATCTCTATAATTTCAAGAAAATGAAATAGAAATGAAATCGTAAGACCATCCACTTGAGAGATTAGCTATTGTTTACAAAACCCACTGAACTTAGAGCAAAAGCCTACAACAAAACCTACCCGAACCACACTGCATAGTATTCTAGACAAACCAGAGGTTATTTGGAGTAAAGGGAAGGGTACAAAGCCGGAGCCATTAGTCATGGGAAAACACATAAACTGATGTTCCTATTCTTAGATTCAGTTTCTTACAAATTAACATTGTCGTTGGACTGGAAGGAAGTTCTTTCTATCCCACCAGGAATGGCTTGAGAGGAGAAGTACACCCAGGGTCACCCTCAGTTGGATTTAATCCCTTTGGATAAGGGATCTATCACAAGGTGCCCTTTAAATTGCCTTTGATAGAAATGCAATGGCCTTATTTGCTTTTCATCTACTTAAGGGCTAAAGGAGGTTTGCTCTGGTTTGGATAATTTCACTAGACAATTCTGTTGACAGATAATGCTTGCACAGAATGTTCACTTAAAAACCAACCACATGGGATTTCATCTGCCTCTTGATTTGTACTGATTTTTCTTTCAACCCTTGGAATAGGAGTGAAAAGTGGAGACCAGGTTCCTCAGCAGAGTCTCTGAACTCTGACACCTGCACCACCAGCTTCTTCTATGAGCATCCTTCCAGTTTCCAAACACTCCATTGGTTTAAACTCAACCCATGGCATTTATTCCCTCTGTAGTCCTTTAGGCTTTCCTTTTCAGCTCTATTGCAAGCACCTCTCATACTGGGAGGTGAGAGAAAGAGCTTCAGTCCTGCAGAATGCACTTATAGAATATGGATTCTACTCATTCACAAACCCAAACAACTCCAATCTTGTCCCTTTCTATTTTAAAGATGTGTTTCGGCGTTTGAAAAGAGCTTCCAAATAGGACCCATTGAAATCTTTTGAGTAACAAAAGCAGTACAACAATACAGCCATTAGAATGTTGACTAACGCCTGGAGTTTCAAAATATTGGCACTATATATGTAACTACTGAGCCATCAGCGAGGAGATACTAGGTTAGATTCCTAAGTAATGATTTTCCTGGGTTTTTTTTCTTTTTTTTTCTTGGAGGTGGGGAGGGGAGGCAAGGGTGCAGATACTAGAGAAACATAAAGTTCTTTTTTTTTCCCAAAGGAATAAAAGCGGGTTTCTTCAGTCTGAATAGACAATCACATTCTGCAATTTAAAATACACTACCTTTTGAAGTACCAGTAGAAGAATATACTTATGAAAGAACTGAACCTCTGGCAATTTGAAAGTTGCACTCTTGCTTCAAAGCAAGCAAAAGGAAAAATCCACAGTTCAATCACAACAATTCTTCTAAAACTAACACAGTAATGAGGTTCTGGGCATACTGTCCCAAAATATGGTAGTTGGCATTAGAGAAAGCAGCAGAAACGGGTCATGGAGAATAGAATAAATTCTCTCACTTGTGAAATGGTGATAAACACAGCTGATTGTCCTTGGTAAATTGGATTTAGGACCCTCATGCTAAAGAGGCCTTCCTGCATCAGGACAAAAGTATTATTTACTCTGAGGAAACAGCAATGGAGTCTGCATGAAGGGCTTTCCTGGGCCACCCTTCATACTTCATACTATTTATAATTTTAGATGATACCACTTTGTCCAATCATGCTTCTCCAAAGTGTCTACTTCATTTGTGTTAGCAAAAAGAAAAAAAATCACAATTTTCCATTTCTTTGACTCTTTATATTTAAAAGTATCACATTCTATAAAAATTATACTACAGAAATCACTCCATACTAAATTTTAATTTTCAACTTGGGTAATCTGAGAAGAAAGCCCCCACTGAGAAACTGCCTAGATCAGACTGGCCTGCAGGAGTTTAGGAGGAAGTCTGGATTATTAGTTGTTACAGGAGGGTTCAGTCGAGTGGCATCATGTAAAGATAGATGGTCTTGGGCTGTGTAAAAAAGCAGATAAACAAGGGCCTGTGAGTGACACAACAAGAAGCATCTCACCATGGCTCTTGCCTCCAGGTCCCTGTCTTTAGTTCCTTGTCCTGACCTCTCTCAGCAATAGACAGGGACCAACAATTGCAAACCAGCAAACCTTTTTTCTCTTTAAGTTGTTTTTGGTTACAATGTTTCATTTCAGTAACAGAAAAGAAGTTAGAATAAATGGGTATGTATTTTCCATGTTAAACTGTGTTTTGTTATAGGGATCTTAGCCATGTTTCTGGAAATGAGTAAGGATACATTAATCTTTTCTCTCTGACAACATTTGTTTCTCTTCTCAGCATAAATACTTAATGATGTTAATTATTAGGGTATCGCTTCTTTTCCAGAAACTGTTTTTTTTTTTAATCCTTTGTACAGTAAGTCTCTGAGGCTCTGATTCTAACTAATGTGCTGTCATTCAATGTACAGAATGGTGTCTCTAATGTTTTGTATATGATCCCCATATGACTATGAAAGTCAAAGGATTAATGTATTTCTACCTTACTGCTTAATATATAAGTTTTCAATTTGTAAAAAATTGTAGAAAATAGAAATGAAGCTCCAAGGCTCTAAGATTTCTTTTCATAATGTTTGCTTCAGAAAATCACTCATTGTTTCTGAAGGAAAGAAACCCACAAGATAGGAAGTCCCTCCCTCAGATAAGTGTTCTCTACAATGGAAATATACCACAGTTCACTCCCACATGTGTCTGTCTTCACAATCAAGAACAAGAGAGACAGCTAGAAAGTTTAGAAGGCTAGGAAGAGGTAAAATAGACCCATCAGAAAGAACTTCAAAAAAACTCTGTAGGTTTACCAAATCCTTTCAGTTGGCCTCAGAATCACAAAATAAAGTAGAAACTTCAGCCTAAACTTCTACTAGTCAAATAGTTTTCATAAAAACAACTAAGTATATTTTTATAACAGTAAGGAAGTCTTAATTTTCCATTACTATGTCACTGTATTCATGTATATTATATGCAAATCTTAAACAACTTGGCTTCTAATTTCTATGTAGTTTGAAAACTAACTTGTGTGGTGATAGTCACTGAATAATAATTTTCATTTTCCTATGGACTTTATAAGGGGGTTCATTCTATACTTTCCTCCTCACATCTTTTCTGTAATTAAGTACATTTTTGCTCACTCTTCAATACTGCTCTAATTTCAAACAGAGAGATGAACTAATTATGTTGACTGTCAGTACTAACCTAGTGCCTAATCTCCTAGTCCGTAGCCCCATAAAAATGGACCTTATTAGTTTTCCGAAAGAGGCAGCATTGACTGGGTCCAGCTTGTGCTCCTGACAGTGTCGAAGGTAGTGGTTGTACAGGGTGCTCCTTGGAAGGCTCACTCCTTCTGCTGTCTCATAATTGTCCAGCAGCCACTGGAGCTGTTGAGATAGGAGACAGTAAGCAGAGAATTCATGGAACTTGCCAAAACCTCAGCAAGGTACATTACACACAGCAACTTGTAATTTCTTCATTAACTCTTAGGATAAACTGTGATAATTCAGAAGCTTGAATATGTGACTTTCTAAGCTCTGGGAAACATCACAGCAGTTTAGACATATCTTTTCTTCAAATTTTCCAGCATGAGGAGGGAAATTAAATTTTCTCTATATTTACTATATTCCTGAGATATTATTATTTTTTACAAAGAATTAAAATAACAGCATTCACTGGTCAAAAGTCACAATATAAATATATCATTTATAACTGTTATAAAACAGAACTAAACCTGGCAACATGGCACATAATTCATCTTTTACATTGATTTGCTACAATAAACAGTAGGCTTACTTGTATGAGGTAAGATTTTACTAATTTTTACAGAATTATAATTTACTTATCGCAAATAACTACTAGATAATACAATAACATCTTATCTACTTGGACAAATGATTTAAATAGGCAAAATATAGTCATTCTTCCTCCTAAAGAAGGACACTTGCTACAGGCTACAAACAACTTCAAGATGATGAAAGGCAGTATTTTTACAATCATCAATTTTCTACCTCAAAGTTGAGGTGTCTTTATACCTCAAATGTTTTGAAGGCACACTACTGTGCTAAATACTAAATCATGCTTTCTTTGCCTATAGTTTACATGTTAAAGTTTTATATTATACTTTGTTTTTTTAAAAAAAAATAATGCTTAAATACAGAAATACAAGAAAAATCTCTGTTGGATGTCTATTATTAAATCTTAACGTATTCATTTACTTGCAAAAGAAACAAAATAAATGCAAATGATTTTCCTAAGGTTATATATTGTCTCAGTGTCTGAGTGTGGTTTCGAACTCATTTCTTAATTACTCTAGACCAATACGCCATTAAAACATCAAATGTCTCACATTATTTGTCTCAACAATCTCCATGGCATTTATAATGGTATAGTAAAGAGGAAACATTGAACCCAAGATTTGCAGTTAAATGTGAAATATGGAAATAAAATAACACAAAGGTGAATATGACTGTACTTCTCTTCTGGGTATTTAGTCAAAGGGATAATGACCTGGGCATTCAAGTAAGTCAAAGATTTTATTCTATTTTATCTGTCTAGTTTAAGACTTTTGATTAAACTTTGAATCAGATATTTTAGGGTTTATATAAAAGCTTACCTAATTATCTTGATTATTTTTTAAACTATGAGGACTGAATTTTCCAGATCATTTTAACTTCAAATATCCCCAAGTAATCATTAAATAGTCAAATATGTATCATCAAACTTCTAGTAGTTAATGGCTTAGAAAAGATATCACAATGCATATAAGATACTTATAAAATTATGTCCTGTTAAGGAAGATTTACAGTTCCCTAAGGAGCATATATCCATATAAATAAATAAACTTAAATACATATTAATATTGTGTCATATATAATTCAACACCATAAAACACTAAAAAGATTATACAAAACTATCTCTCCTTTTTATACTGACAGAAAAATACAACAATTCATAAAGATTTTTTTCATAGTATTTACTTTGAGCCTTGATATAAGTACAACGTTTTCCAGAGACACTCAAACATGAGTGTGTGTACTGAAAATAATGCACAGGATAGGTTCTCTCTAAGCATGCTAAGTTTAATATGAAACATCAGAGTAAACTCACTCATTAAGTTACTGAGGCTGAAATTACTACTCTGCTTGGAACAGTGGGCTAGTGGACTTCTTTAGAGTATTTCTTTTTTAAAATTTCAAGACTTTAAAATATAAAACACAAGACACACCAATACAAACCTGATTCAAATCTCATCCATGCACTTCAGAGAACTGACAGGATGTGAATGCACTTCCAGTGGAATTCAAGTAGCCACTGTGAAACTATACTGCATGAAAGTGTGCTATAGTCTGTCATGCAGGTGCTAGACAGAGCAAGGCACAGCTACCATCTATTGGTATTCTTAGCATGTTAAAATTAGAAACACAGACCCTTGGTACCAAGGATTAACAAAGAAAAACAGAAAAACCTCCTGAAAGGATTTTGTATAAGGTGAAAATATTTTTAGCAGTTGTAAATAATGTAACAAATTTCTCATATGCACATTACACATTGTAGAACACATTTAAGTGCAAAGTATTTAAGATGTGTGTATGAGTGTGTGTGCATGTGTGAGAGTGTGCGTGCACGTGCCCACGTGCATGTGTGTGTGTGTGTCCCCATTAAAGACCTAATAACACAATTCAGAAAGGGGAGTGAAATAATTCTATATACTTTCCTTTGCTAATGAGCAGATGATATATTAATACAGAAAATCTTAGTTTAAAGGATATTTCCCCTAGAGATGGAAGTTAATTTTAAAATGTGAACTTTATAACCAGAATACACGAATAATAATAAATCAATAAATAATTTTAATGTAATATAAACAAATGAAAATAATTACTTAGCTACAGAAATGAAACTTTCAGTAGTATTCTAGCTGTGTACCAGTCTCTCCACAAAACACTTCCTTCCTTCCTTGTATATTATTTACATTCCCCCAAATGCTTTATGCTTAAAATAATTTTTGAAAATATTAATTTGATTATGATGAACACATACAACTAGACATAGAGATGTATACTAAGCAGCATCCAGCGGTGGTTGGTTGGACAGCTATCTTGCAGACTTGACAACTGCAAAGCTAAATTTGTTCTGACTCCATCTCATCAAAAGGAAGCACTTTATTCCTTGGTGAGCATGTGGAAAGAAAGGGGAGTAGATAGGAATAAAAACCCTGAAGATGGAGATGACTGGTCTGCTGGCATGAGGTCCCTGCTGGGAAGACTGCCAATAACCACACCTGTAGCTATTATCTTAGAAACTTACTATAGAAGCAGTACACCATCTAGACTACGCCCCAAAAGACTTGGAGATACAGCTGGAACATTTCATCTACGTTTTAAATACTAGTGTTTAATTTTCTGATTTTGATACATGATGAAATTCTAAATCAGATATTGAATCTAACACATATGATTACATAGTATTATTTTTATTATCAGAAAAACTAAGCAGTTACTTTTTTGTAATATAATGTAAAAGATTATGCTATGTCCGTCCCATGAGCTACCTATCCAAAGGAACTGAATAATTTTTATAAGGTAAAGATTGTTTCATGCAGTTTTCTCTTTAACAAAATGTATTTGAACTTTTGAATTCAATTCCCTGAACATTTAGTAATTTAGAATACAACTATCTGTTTCTCTTACTTTATTCTTTTAATAAACTGTATTATAAAATGAGTATATTTACAAGCTTGGGAAATACTTTAAAGATTGTAAAATATCATAGAAACTTTTAACCTTTATCTGTAAACCTAATTATTATACTAATGAACCAACATATACTTATCTAAGGGCAGAGAGCAAGATAATTGCATCTTTCAACCTTTGTATTTAATCTGTATTCATCAGAACAGATTACAGAAGATGAAAAGTTCCTATTTTTCCTAAAGGGAAACACTGATTGACAAATAAAACTAAATAAATAACATACTGCCTAATTAACATCTAAACACAACAGTTGGCATTCCAGGTGGATTATTATCAATTAGGAATCACTTTAAGATCATTGCACTGATGTTATACATTTTGTCAGGCCTATAATAACTTTTATTTACAATATAGTCATGACAGCAGTGGAGGAAAACTAAAATCCAAGATTTTACTTTAAGCTGAATATATTTCAGTAGCTTAAGCTTGTAAGCATTACGAATTGATTGTCTGCTGGATTATGAAGATTCCAAAAACATAAATGCCTAGTGGTTTCATATTCTTTAAGTGGAATTAAAAAGAAACACAGGTTTAAGTGCACTATGCAGAAGCTAGTAGCAATTTAACAATAATTCTAGGTTGAAGTTTACCATGTAAAGTACCCTAAATTTGATATGATATAAACACTAAATGAAAATGCATATTAATTACAGTTGACAATACAGGTCAAGCTTAAGCCTGCAACTAAAAGAATTAGATATCCTTTGGACTTAGGGAGATCTATAAAATTTATGAACAGCATCTTCACATAAAATTTAAAAATAAAATATAAAGTATTGTATCAAAAAATTTTTATAAAACTAAAATAAAGCACATTCTAAAATGCAAAGAGATGAGTAGCATCACTTTGGGGTACAACTTTTTAAAAGAAGAAAATAAGTTTTTCTTAATCTTAAGGGTGTATGTAGAAAATTATAAAGAGTCCCATTTATTCTTCATTTAATTAGAAAGCCATTAGAGAGGATTCACTACCAGTACATACATGCTGACTTTAGAGAATTTGGGGACAAAAAGAGAAACCAACAATGTATGTATGAGTTCAAAATAAGCATATATGTGAGTGGGAAAAGAAATCTACAGCATTAAAGAGGTCTATGCCTTTCTACTGTTTCTTATATGCAAACATTCTGCAAATATTCAGTATGCATCTACAACTATGTACCAGCACTGTACAATGCAGGAGGACCATGTTAGGGAAAAACTCATAAAAGTATTTATTTATTTTTTTTAGCTTTAACTATTAAATTATATAAATTATTATATAAATTATTATTAACTATATATTATTAATATATATTATATATTATTAATATATAAATAATTATTAATTATATTATTAATTATTATATAAATTATTAATAATTATATAAATTATTATTTATTTAGCTAATAAATATTTACTGGTTGTCTAAGATGCTGACATAATGCCATCAGTTTAACATTACTAACAGACTAAAGACACACACTGAGTAGCATTTTGTTCCAGTTGCTGGGGGAAACCCAGTGAAAGTCAGGAGCATCGTTAACATCCCAAGGAAAAGACAACAGAAATGTTTTCTGCATTCCAGAAGAAACTAAGGCAGTAGGCATCAGGAAAACACTGATCTGTCTCTTCTGCTCACAAAACTGTGTTCTACATGCAGTTCTGAACAAATGTGACTGCTTCCAAGATGTAATAAAAACGAGTGAGTTCGGGAAACAAATATTGCCACCATAGGAGCAACCTTTGTGTCCACTCTTCCTAATACAGCAAGTAGGCTTAAACACATGGAGGATTTGCTATGTTGTGCAATAGAAACTCACACCCAGGGAAACCACATCATTGTGTTGTTTGAGCAGCTTCATTTACAGCCATTGACAACGAACTTTACCTCACAGTTCTAATGAAGGAAAATAATTTTAACTAACCCAATATATTTCAAAAGTTTAAAACAAAGAGAAATATTTTTAATATGTTATATACCTACAGTATTGTTTATGAAAGTATCAATAAAGCTGGGTGATTGAAATTAAATTTAAACAACACATTATGATATATTTCATATCTCCAAGTGAAATAAGAACTGACTTTCAGAGTCAATTTAGAAAACTGAAAATTTCAAAAGAGCAACTAGAAATTTCTATTTATTTTTAGAAATACTTATATGCCTGCACATTTCTGGCTGGAAGTGATAAGCATTTTCACTTGCTATTTTCAATATACAAACTGGCAAACTCATCCTAATACCATATGGTAAACTAGCCTTTAACACAACCAGAGACTCATTCCAATAAGCAAAATAGATTTAAGAACAAAGCGTGGAAAAGAGTGTTCAAATACTTTTTAAAAAGAGGTGACAAAATATATATCCTTATTTTGAAACTTCTTTCTGTAATTTTTACCATAGTCACAGGCCTTCTTTGAATTGGCTAACATTTTTTGTTTGCCAAGATACTACTGTTGAAAAGGGAATGAATCAAACACCTCCAAAATCCAACATTGGAACATCAGAAGGAAGCGATACTTTGGAATACAAATCTGAAATAGTTCAAAGTTCAAATATTTTTTTAAAACACCACAGTGAAATATTTCCTATAAACTGCATGATTGTTAAAAATACTACAGCTATTCCAGTGATCTTACTTTTAAACTTTTTAGTCATAAAAATATTAAGAAAAATTAAGAAATCACAATAAATTATCCCTAACTTAAAAAAAAAAACAGTGAAGAAAGGAATTTCTAATTCTTATTCAAATGTTACAAATGCCAATTTAGTTCCTATATCTACACTACTTAAGTATGTCCATTCATTTCCTCTTAATTCAGAAATTACCTTCTAAAAATAATGCCCTTCTAGTGTTTCTCACATTATAGGAAGCATTTTCATTGATTTCCTCAATTTTGAACAGATGATGACAATGTTTATTTCATCAAAACTTACCAGTGTTACAGTGATGCTGGGCCTGGGAACAGGGAGAACGTCAGGAAGCAATAAGACCACTCTGCTTGCCTCGGTATGAGCAACTCGCGACCTACATACAACTTCACGTTTGACCTGTTTTCATTTTTCTTCAGTGTTTAGGACACTGAGTTCGTCCATGACTGTGACTTGCCTACTTTACACTCTTACCAGTAAATGCACTTGGAAGATTTTACCACTGCTTTGGCATTAGTGACCACTTGTCCATTTAAAGACTTTTATCAGTCACATGGGAGACATGCTTGCTTCTGTGTCTCAGACATAAAGATGTATACTGTAAAGTTTTGCTTCAGAGGAAATAAATATGTGGCTAACAAAATCTTGAAATGTTTAAAAATCATTATTAACTACATTTTAGAAATAAATAGTGGCTTGTCGTTCATTTTAAATTTTGTATATCTAGACAGGAAGTCCGAACACCTGGTAAAGCAGCACACTGGGTCTGTTTTGAGATACCCCACTGTGTAAAACACACATTAAATAATTAGAGTCTGAAGAGGCTTGAGAAGAGAAGGTTAAGAAGCAAAATAAATAAGTAAATAAATAAAACAAGCACTTAGAGGCAAGCAACACATGCAGAACAAGCAAGAGATTAGTGTACACGAAGAGGCAACTTACATGGCTGTTGAGAAGAGAGCTTCTGTGAGTGGACAGACCGTCAGACTTTTGCAGCGTCTCAATCGCCATTTCAATCTGATAATAAATGTCATTGAAAAAAGGGCTCAAGACAAGACAGTAATAAAAGGCTGACCAGAGACTTTTGATTGATTCTTAAAGTCTAATTCACTCTTCAATGATGGCTAATGAATAGCTATCACTAAATGTGTCCCCCCCAGCCTTTCCATCCCTAGAGAATGAAATATAATATGCACATAAATAATAAGCTCAATTACAAAAGTAATCCTTTCTAAACACTTTGTGATTATAATCAGCATGGAGACTCAAGGATCAAGAACCCTGGCAGATTGTTCTAGTTATAAGAAACTATTTTTTTACTTGCATGGTTCAAGATGTGGGATATTATACCCTCTCTGTATAGCCTCATACCTAAAGCATGTTTAACATTTGTTCTCTTCTGTCACAAAATAAAAATCATAAAATGAAATCTGAATTTAATATGCATTAGTATTTTAATGCAAGTTACAAAAACTCTAAAAGCTAGTAAGTCTACACATCCTTCTTTTACTCTAGCAGTAAAATTTGGTAGGGAAAAGTCAGTCAGGTGAGCATTCAGATGTGACTATGGTCTCTATTATAGTTTAGGACATGATGATGAAGCAGAAATATTAGAAATAACAGCAGAAAGAGGAATAGAAGAGAAAGTAACTCAGAGCCAACAAAAATTGGACAAGAACAGAATCAGTTATATTCAATGTAATCACAGCACACCATGGGCTGTCACAAAATCATTCTTAAGCAAAAGCTTCCAGGGACAAACCAGAGGCACTCTTGATGCCATCATATGAAAGACAGCTGTCCTTCTGCTCACAGCACTATGACACATGCTATCAAGAAAGGAACTAAAAAGTGTGCATTTGGAAACTGGCATAGTAAAATACCAGCTAATAAAAACCTTCATTATGCAATTTGAGAAAATAAATTTAGTTATTTTAACACTATAAATATATCGACAATTTGGTATAAGCAGTTATCAATTCATAACAAATGTGCAATAATTTATTCTATACTTAGCTGTTTTTGATATCATAAAACCAGGCAAAGTGCCTTTTAAATCATTCTATCCACCACTTGCGATGCTAACAGAGTATATTAAACTTGAAAACAGAAGAAAATGCTATTGTTTACATTTAAAAAGATCACATTTTAGAATACACAATGAATTTAAGGAGTAAATGAACATTTTTTTAATTAAACCTATCTTTTAAATTTTATTTATTTTTATTTTATGTGCATTGGTATTTTGCCTGTATGTATGTCTGCGGGAGGATGTCAGATCCTGGAGTTAAGAGTAGTAAGTTGCCATATGGGTGCTGGGAACTGAACCTGAGTCCTCTTGGAAGAGCAGTGCTCATAACTGCTGAGCCATCTCTTTAGTCTGGTTTTAAATCACTTAAAAGGAATCAAAAAGCACTCTTGTTTTCAAAAGGAAAAGACAGAGCATAAGATAATTGAAATCATTCATGTAATAACAAAGCATGTCTAAGAAGAATTTGCTCAAAATTGCTAAATGCCTACAATTTATTTTTTTTTAAGTTTGAGGGTGGAAATTTGAACTATGATTGCATTTTAATAAATAAATAAATTCAAAGTGAGACATAATGTCATTTTATAGATTTAAATGAAAGGCAAAAATTATCAGGATTATAATAGCTGAATCACACTCGAGAATAGATCCTCACTAAGGTTTTGAGAGGCAGCAGTGTTAAGTGAGATCAGCCATCACTTGGCTTCCTTAGGGATCTATATCTTTTACTAAAGTTGCTACTGTGGAGGTGACTTACTCCCTGCAAGGCCAGGTTGTCAGGAAAAGAACCAATCCACCCTGGATACTTTCTGGTTTTATCTTATGTTTTTGTATGCTTCCAGCCCTTTGCTGTTATATATATGGTCCCCTTCAGCCAGTAGGGGAGCCAGTAGCAAGGATCTCTGGGAAAGGAGGCAAAATGGCAAGGAGAAACATGCCCAGCTGCATCCACCAGGACAGATACACTGACTGTCTGGGAGGTGTTGCTTTTTATAATTTATTCCTACCAGATAACAACTTCTGAGAACATGATCAAAACTGTGAACCCAGTACTCAGACAAAATATATTTAAGAAGAGTTATAAACCTGTACAGATTTTCTCATTGTTTACATTCTCCCTGAATTTAAAATTCATACTAAACAAGAAATCTTCTCTAGGGAAAACAAGAGGAAAGTGTGTGCTAGGAAGCAGGAGCCGAAGTGAGTCAGAAAGCAAAAAAAGCAGAGGGCATGCTCAAATGAAGGGAAGGGAAATGAAGGCAGCATGTCCAGGATAGAAACTTGAACTTGACTGTTAACTTGACTATATTAAGAAGAACCTAGGAGAATAAAGTACAACTCTAGGGGTGTCTGTGAGGCTTCACCGAGGAGCAACTAAGAGGGAAGACATACTCTAAATGTGACGGGTATTCCACAGGTTAGAATAAAAGAGGAAAATAGAGAAAGCCTCCATGGACACAGGCAATCTCTTTCTTTTTCCTGTTCACTGTAAGGGAGACTACTCAAGCATGCTATCATACATGATTGCAACGCCTGCACTCACACAGAAAGCTAGGCGTGTAACTCCTGTGGTGTCAGGATTACCGGGTTTGCTGGTCCCCAGGCTGGCTACAGGGTCAATGAGTAGGACACCCAAGTACAATCTCTGGCTTCTGTGAGAACACTTGAAAACACATGTGTGTGTATGCCACACATATAAACCAAGACAAACACACACACACACACACATACACACACACACACAAACAATAACAAAATTGAAACACACACACAAATTAAAGAGGCTATGTGTTTTGCACCTGGAAAATAAGGTACCCTGGAGCAACTAAGGAATTGACAAGACCACAAACATTCTAAGGAACAGGAGTAGGAAAGTTTCAACATATTTGAAACACTTGAGAAGACAACTCCAGTGGCCCTTGCTCCACAGGACTGCCTAGGAAAGAATTTTCAGTTTGTATTCAACCCTCTGAGCATTCAGAAGCTATTAGGGCCATAGTGCAAAAGACCTAAGCTGGTGTCAGACCTTGTCACTGTCCACATGACACAAGTTTTGCAGGCATACAGAATATAACAGTTCCAAGTTCATGGATGATTCTACCCAGATTTCAATGGCTGGATTGGGAATCCAACAAATGTGTGTCAGGGTCAGAATCCCTACAGGTAGCTCCTAAGAGAGCAAACTTTGTGAAGCCGTAAGAGTGAAGAGGAGGAAACGGAGACCCTCTGAGAATATGATATACTCCAGGAACATGAAATGACCAAGGAATAAAGAGGCAGCCAATAAGCAGGGTCAAAAACAAAAGAGGGCAAGTAGCAAGGCTGTAGCTGTAGGGTCAGGCCTACCTAAGTGCTTTGGCGCTTACACCACCATACACATGTCAAAGATGATAGACGTAGGAGGCATAGGATTTAGGGCTTGCTGTGCTGGATTTCATTTGTTTGGGTCCTACTCCTCTTCTCTGGGCTTTATCTAATTCCTTTGTTCAGTTGCATGTAGAGAAGGGAGAAGAACACCTTTAAACTTTGGAGCCTGCTCACAGCAAAGACATTATTTCAATTTCAGAGACTTTAAACCTGGACTTTTGAGGAATCTTGGAACTACTGACTTTAGAGACTTTGGTACTTAGATTAAACGCACTTCACATTATGAGGTAGTCCTGGGCTTTTGGGGAACAGGGGAAGAATCTAATAATTTGAATATGAACTGTCTCCAGAGGTTCACGTGTTGAATTCTTGGTTGCTAGCTGCTGGAATGGTTTTGAAGAGGGTCGGAAAAATAAGGGGGTAAATGTAAAGCAAGAACGAAACTGAGTGTGTGTTCTTAAAGGTGCTGAGTGGTTTCTGATTGCCTATTCTCCTGGCCACACAAGGTAAATCACTCAGCCATAGGCTCCTGGCACATGGAATCAGCCAATTGTGACTCAAACTGTGAGTCATAAACTTCCCTTTGTTCTCTTTCCCCTTTCAAGTATTTGTCATAGCAACAAAAATTTTACTTACATAGTCACAAATGTAGTAAAAATGACCATGTGACAATAAATACATTTGGTTCTTTTAATTCAAGAAAAAAAATGATGCATCAATTTTGTAAGGTAGAAAACACATTTAAAAATATTTCAAATATGCAAATGTCATAGTAGCCTAGAACAGTAAGAGAATATTCTGTGTTCTTTTAGAAATTGGGATTTGAACATCAGAAGAGGCAGGTGGGATAAGGTATTTTACATCCAGAAGGAATGATAATATATTTAGCATTAGTTCTACAAAGATTCAGCAACACCTCAAGGAAGAACTTGAAGTGGACACAGTGTTTATTATCTAATAAAAAGAGGGATAGCATGGTAATAAACATGCAGCTCAAAGCTTAGGCTGAAAACATTTTCATCACTAAAATATGTGGCTTCCCAGTGTCATGAAGAAGGTGGCATTCTCCGATCATGGAGACCCATATAATGTTACATCTTCCACCATCACCACCAACAACAACCACTACCACTACCACCACCAGCAACCACCACCAGCAACCACCACCACTACCACAAGCAACAACAACAGCAATAAAATCAATATCCCAAAAGAGACTTGAGAAAAAAAGACCCACCTATGTCCTGAAAAGAGGACCAGAGTGGGGAGAAAAGTGGCAAAGGATGTTAGGATGTTAAATTGTATTTTATTCTTTGCTCATGCTCAAATCAGTAATGTATTTTCTAAAAGAGTGCACAGTATCAATGAAACAGAAGCAACATTTCACTGTTACTCTTTTTTGGTGTAATAACTACTCTTGCCACCTTCTAATAAAAGAAGGGGATAGCTTCTTATTTTGCTGAGCTTATTTCAGTGGTTGAGAAGGTTAGAGATTAGAACCCATTGAGAATACTGGAGGCAAATGAAGTATAAATGGATAGACAAAAGAGAGTGCTACAAAGAGGTATTCTGTGACTATGTTTTAGAAAATATGGTAAGTCTTCAGTTCCTTCTATAAACC